GTTCGTTGGGAAGGGTGGGAGCCCTGCCGTTGTTTTCCAGAGAAGACCCCTCCTGCACCCTGAGCCCAGCGCGCGCGCGGGTGGGGTGGGGGTGGGGGAGCAGAGGCTGACTTGCTCCAGGCTGCAGTCTCTCTGGTGAGAGGGCCCTGTGTCTCTAAGGACCTCCACAAGGTGTTCTGGGTGTTTGTAGGTGATCATTTACCCAGGTGGTCTTCCCTTTGGACGCTCCAATGTTTTTATAGGAGGGGTTATTAAGTTTTGATGTTGAGCTTTCCGCAGACCTATTGAGTGACATTCTGTGATCTCTTACTTAGGTGTAAAACGATGCTTAGGACGCCGCCGTGGTGCAAAGGAGAGCAAGCCCTGACCCTGCACCCCAAAGACCTGGTAGTAGCCCTGGAGCTGCTGTGGAGGGGCTACGTCAGCACAGGCTGGCTGCAGGGGCCCCACGTGCTCGTGGGTAAGATGAGACCCGCGCGCCCCCTTTCTGTTCTGACGCACACGGCATCCGCGAGGTCCTTCGTCCTTGTTTCCTTTCCCATCTGCGCTGGTGATGCGCAGAGGTGGCGCTGGATGGATGATGGTGCCGGGGACCACAGCTCAGGCCAAGGGTTTGGGGGTCCCTGTGGGCTCTGAGTGTGAGCTTTCAGGCTGGAGTCTTGGCGCCTTTGGGAAGAATCAGATGGAAATGGTTCTAGAGAAGAGCGTGCATTCTTCTTGCTTTCTCGTTCAATATCCTCCTTGTCATTATCCAGAAATCTTCCCTGAGAATCTCACATTACCCTTCTTTTTCTTTGGGGACAGAGCTAACTCACTTCCTGCGCGGTATGTGCCTCTCCTATCTGCCGTGATAGATAACCTGCAGTGACCTTTCACAGTTTTGTGACAATTGTCTCTTAGTGATAATCATACAGGCTGTGTCTGTAAGGCAGGTTCCTCCATCCGTGGCCCGGGAGCTCATCTCTTCGGCCTTATTGGTTGCCATGGACACAGGATGCGGAAGTGGTCCCCCTCCCAGCGGACCAGAGGAGCCCTCCGCAGCCAGGAAGCTGTGAATGGATATGTGCTCATTTAACAACTATTTTTAGATATTTGAGAATTGAAAAAAGGAGAAGCAAAATGTTTCCCAGCGGAGCTTGGCCTCGCACTGAACCTCATGAGTTATCTGCAGTCGGTGCAGTGACCAGGTTCTGGCTCTGCTGCCGGCTGTCCCCCACCTCTGCATGTCTAAAGTGCATGAGTCCTCTCTGGAAGTGCTATCACATGGTGCAGTCTCCAGGTGGTCCATAGCCGGAGCAGGCCCGAGGGGAGGGATTCTTCAGTCTCCTCTCTGCTCTGCTGAAGCTTGCGTGAATTCTGCTGTCTGCTCTTGTGGAGCCATGTGTGCCCCTCGGTGCTGGTGAGGGGCTCTTCGGGCTCTCCCTCCCGCCCTCCCTTCCTTCCCTGCTTCTGCCCCCTCTGTCCTTGTCCCCTTGTCCCTTCTCCCCTTCTCCTCCCATTTCCGGAGTTTCCCTTGCTGGCTTGGGAGTGGGTTTGGGGTCCTCCTTGTTTTTAGGCTTTTATCTTCCCTTCCCTCCAAAACCCTCAGGCTCTTTGAAGTTTCCGGTGTCACGCTCGACCCAGCTTCCTCCTTTGAGAAGACACCTGGTGACTCTCAGCCCCTGTCGTTGCCCTGGCTCCTCCCTGGCCCTCCCCACCATCTTTCCTTAAACTGTCTCTGGATGAAACAGAAGACACCAGTGGATCTTTTCATCCTGGTACTGGGGATCGAACCCAGGGCCTTGCACATGCTAGACAAGTGCTCTGCTGTTGAGCTACATCCCTGCTTCCCAAATGCGTGTTGAAAAGCTGGAAGGCCTGTATGTCGTCTGCACAGTGATCTGCCAGCTGATTGTAAGCTTACGAAGTCAGGGTGGTTTCTGCTCCCTCTAGGGAGATTTAATTCACATCACAGCTCACGGCCAGCAGTGGCTGTAGGTGTTATGTTTATTTCCGTTTATTTTGCTCTGCTGTTTTCTGACTTTTCCTTTTTGTGTTTGTACATGTTTACGTACCCGAGACTATGTTCATCGTGGGGAATTTGCACAGGTTCATGACACATCCTTGCTCTTTTTTTGTCCCTCCTCGCTTTCTCTAATGCTTGTTCCCTTTCCCACTTGTAAAAGCTCCATTTCTATTTAATTCTTCTTCCCTTGTTTTCTTCTTTCTTTCATCCCTGTCTCCATCTCTTGTTTCCTTCCCCTTTGCAAAAGGTCTCCCACTTCCTATTATTTTGTTCTTTATTTATATTTTGGGTCTCTCATTTAAGAGAAACGGTGTGATACTGAAACGTGGGTGTCTGATTTGTTTTCTGAGCGTTGTGGTGTCACGGTGCCGCCGTTTTCCTGCAGGTGCCTCAGGCTCACCCCTCTCTGTGGCAGACTAGTCCATCACTGTGCGTAAACACATTTTCTTTATCCTCATCTGTCAGTGGCCCGCTCGGCTGCTTTCAAGATTCAGCTGTTATAAATTGTACCACTGTATGTCTTCTGACTTCTTCTATGGTGCACATTTTTGAATATAGAAAATAAAATTGTTCTAAGAATAAAACACCCGCCATGGTTACAAGAGAGTGAATTAGGACCTGGTTGGTCGGGAGCGCGATGACACGACCAGCAAAGATTTAGTGAATGCCAGCTGCTTTCCAGCGTCACTACGACTCCCTGCAAGCCCTGTAAATGTTTGGCCTAACTTATTTATTTTATTTTTGCCCCAACTCACTGACGGATGTTCTGGTTTACAGAGAAGCTGTAGTTGCCTAGGTAATATAATAACTACTTTATTTATTTTCTCTTTGAGACAGGGTCTCACTGTTGCAGTTCAGGCTGGCCTTGAGCTCACTTTGTAGCCCAGGCTGGTCTCGAACTTGCAAGGATCCTCCTGCCTCCACCACCCGAGTACTGGGATTATGGGCATGCGCCACCACACCTGGCTAATAGCTACCGTATTAAAAAAAATCACATGCTATGTAAACTCTGGGCTTCTGTATTCTCTTTCAGGCAGCACAGTGCGTTTCTTACCACACCTCTAAATCGGATGTCTTAATTTATACCCTGCAGCTTCTGAGTGTCACAGCAGTCACAAAAATAAAAGCATAGGTTTTAAACCACGTGTGGAATCCACACTGTGGTCGCGTGCAGACCACCTTAAGATCCAATGCAGGGTAAGTGGGTTTTCTGTGGACAAAGGCAGTGATTTTCCAGGCCCCAGCCGTGGGGCCCATCTGGCCCTTGGTGACCCCTCACCTTCACAGCTGTCATCAAAGCCCGCCTTCTTGCTAAACCCTTAGTGCTTGTTCTTTTTATGTTTTGTCCATTTATGTTAAATTTGTGCATTTATTTTTAAAAATTTTACGCTGTGACTACACATTGGTGGTGCAGGAAGTCTGCGTTGATCTTGGGGATGGGGCTGTGCACACAACGCGGCTGGGGTCTTTTTTAATGCCTCTCTCTCTCCTGCCCACTGCCTGCCTTTTGTCCCTAAACCACTTTCCCCCTTTTCATTCTGATTGTTGCTCTTATTTTTAGCTCATGTTTATGACATGCAGTGTTTGCATTCACTGAGGGCTTTGATACTGGTTCACGACACATCTTAAATCTTTTTACCTCCCTTCCTCCTGCCCTGCCCTTGTTCTCTGGGGTCCTTTCCAATTTGGAAAAGATCTAGCTCCCCATTTCTTTATTTTACTCTCTATTTGTATGTTACTTTACTCAAACAAGAGATATCATGTGGTATATAAGCTTGTGTGTCTCTGATTTATTTCACTATTGTTATCTTTTCCAGATGTACCCATTTTCCTGCGAATGTCTTGCCTTTATTTTTCTTTATACTGAGAAGTACTCCATTCTGTGTAAACACTGCATTTTCTTTATCCGGTCCTCTATTGATTGCCACACAGGCTGCTTCCAAGATGTAGCTAGGATGGGCTGTGCTGCTGTATGCGTGGATGTGTGTGCATCACTGTGATACAAGGTTTCCAACTGGACATGACTGGGTCCCACGGAATTTCTAGTTTCATTTGCAGAATCTCCACCCCAACTTCTGCAGCGGTCACGCTGCCCTCTCCTGCCTTGGGCAGGTGTAATATCTGCACCCTGCCTGGGGGCCTCTCCAGCTCCTGCCTCAGTGGCTGTGTTGTGCTCAGGTACCTGCTCTGCAGCTCATTGCCAATGCCGGGTCTTCAGCACAGTGTCGACCTGGTTTCGTGGCCTCAGAGTTCAGTTTCACAGTAGCGCTAGTTGTGCCAGCAGCAGCATGGACACCCAGAGGCATAGAGAGCAGAATCTGCATCATTAGCTGGCATGGTGGCAGGGTAGAGACACCCAGAACTCTTCCTGACCCCTGAAGTCAAGTCAGGGCTGATAGATGGGACTCGAAGTGGTGGGGACCTGCAGGCAGTGTTGGCAAATTGATCTATGTTTCACCTGTGTGCCCCACGGGGTGCCCTCTTGGCAGGAGTTGGTGTAACACACCACCAGAGTGTTAATTTTCCCACTATAGGGGGAGCATTGTTTGATGTAGACGTTTCCAGAAGCAGCTGCTGTTTTAACACAGTGAGTTTCGGTTTTCCAGTGGCAGATTCCACGCAGCAGTCTAGCTAGAGAGGCCCTGGGACCTGCTGCCTCAGGATAGCAGAGGAAATGCCACCAACCTCCTGCCGTGACACTAAAACACAGACCCCCATAACCAGCTCAAGTAACACCCACTTTTCCCTGCAGGGAGGAGAAGCAGGAAGGTCTGTGTGCTTCTAGTCACCCTGTGATCTCAGGAAGCACAGTCCTGTTGCTGCACGGATCGGTGCGTCATCAAAGTGAGATGGCGTTTTTAACAAGGCAACTGATGGCCCAAACTCCTGTCTGAACCCGAGTGGTCCCATTCCAGCGATTCTCTTAGCCATAGATTTTACGTGAGCGTCTCACCCTTGGGTCCATGTATTAATGTTTGGGTTTTTCTTTTTGCAGCATCTCTCAAGAACCTCAACAAGAATAAGAAAGTGGTTCCGCTTCCTGGTAAGAGCATGTGCTGTCTCTCCTGTTTACTGGTGGGTGGCACTTGAAAGCCTCCTGGTGGCTTCTCTGGGTCTGCTTTGTCTGCCTGTGGGTTATCTGCCCACTGGGAACACCACACTTCATTCTTGGCCTGCTCTGGGTGTCCAAGTGAGCTGCAGAGCCAGTCATTGCATTTAGGCAGATATTTAAAAAAAAATTTTTTTTTTGCCTTTTTGAGACAGGGTTTCCCTGTGCAGTTGAGGCTTACCTTGAGCGCACTTTGTAGCCCAGATTGGTCTTGAATTCACAACAATCCTCCTGCCTCAGCCTCCTGAGTGCTGGGATTATAGGCATGTGCTACCTTGCCCAGTAGAGGCAGGTCTTTCATTGTTCGATTTTAACAATTTAACACACCACTTACCCTTATAATATTTTATAAACCACCAGGTAGGGCAGGGAAAAATAAAGCTCTGGAAGCTAGTGATTTCAGGAAATTTCAGACAGGAAGCTTCAGGGGAACTTGAGGATCCTGGGTTACACTGTGTGGGTTGAGAGGCAGATGGGGGTGTTTTGAATTCTGGAAGAAGAAAGCCCAGAACCAGAGGAACTATGCAGCAGCAGCCCATAGACACAGCGGATTTAGAAAGTCAGGCAAGCTTGGGGATTTTGAAGCTGCCTTTTGACATGTTACTCTTTTATATAATTAGTCTTACATAGATTAGTATATTATCTGTCTAAACATGTTTTCATATCCTACCATTCCACTTTGAGTTTTGCCCATTCTGTTTTGTATGGTTCTAGGCATGCTGTGTACGCGTGGCAGGCGGTGGCGGTTTCTGTCTCTTCTTTCTGCAGTCCTGGGTGCTTTCCTTTATCAAGCATTCCCTGGGCTTCTCCTGTGCACTGCTGGGCACTTGAGAAATGAAGGCAGGGGAGACGTGGTTCCTGTGCACCGTGCTTGTGCGCTCATGGCCTTGTGGGGAGATAGACGGGGTGCAGGTTGGGGTTGTGGGGGTGCAGAAGATGCTGTGGCATTGGGGAGACAGGCAGCTGGCGCCTTCTGGGGTGTCCCCTTGTCCTGGGGGCAGGCTCAGTTCCCAGGACTCTGTGTGGCAGGTAATCCTGTGTTATATGTGACAGTCTTTAGATTTTCTTCAGAGCCAGCCTTTTACTCCGTCTCTGAAGTTTGTATGGCACAGAGGGTCCCCACTTCCTGTGTGTGGTTTCCTCTCAGCCATTGAACTGCTGTGACCCCGTGGTTCCTGAATGTCCTTATTTTTATCTCTATTCTTCAACAAAGACATAGCCTAGGCCCGAAGACTGGAAGGTGATGTGTTGGTAATCAGTCTGGGAGGTGGACTTGCTTGGGGTTAATTATTCCTTGGGAACCAAGAATAGCATGGAGCTGTGATCCTAGGCCAGAGTGGTGCCCCCTTGCAGGGGGTGTGTGGGTGCTGGGGTTGGGGCTGGGGCTTCTGGACATGCAAGAGGCTAGAGTGGTGGCTGGATGAGGAAGGGGCTGCAGGGCCAGGAACAGTGGTGGAAGCTAGCAGAAGGGGCAGCAGGCATGGGCCAGGTGGACCATGGCTGGAGGGGAGGTGGGCGGAGGAATCAGATTCCCAAGTACATGGGGAAGGAGCAGTGGCTTTTATGCACCTTGGCTTTTGGGACTGGAAGAAGTGTACATGTGTTTGCGTGCGTGCGTGCGTGCATGTGTGTGTGTGTGTGTGTGTGTGTGTGTAAAGAAGGAGTGCGTGAGGAGGATGGAAGCAAGCCAGCGATCGTCTCCTGAAATCCCATGTCCACCGTAGAGGCCGAGCAGGACACACAATACCCAGCCTGCATCTCTATGGCGCTAGGGACGCAGGTTTTCTCTGTCAGGTCAAAAAGTGCGTGCTGGGCCAGGGCTTTCTGAGTTGTCTGTCTCTCACTCAGCAACTCGTGGACCTTGGTGCTGTGATGCTGCCGCCTTTGGCTGGGGCTCCAGGCTGAGCCGGTGTCGGGAGCCCTGCCCAGCCCTGCCCTAGTTTGTCCTTCCGAGCAGTTCGGTCTTTGTGCAGTGGGCAGCGTTAAAGCGGGGAGGCAGGGTGAGGTGAGGTTTAACTTAGCACTGCATAACCAGGGAGAGAGCAGGAGAGATGGCCCAGGACGGGCTTTGCTAGACGGTGAAGTCGGGACCAAGGCATTAGGCCGCATGAGAGGAGACAGCTATCTGGGAGCAGACCATACCATGGGGTCCACACTTGGACACCTGGGGCACAGAGTGTCAAGGAGGAGGTCTTTGGATTTCCTCTGCCCTGGGGCCGTACCCGGGTGGGGCAGTGCCCAGGGTTTTGGGTATGGAAGGCAAGTGCTGCAGGCACCGAGATTCTTCCTGAGCCCCGAAGGTGGCTTTCTGTGTTTTGGTGCTGTTCTGTAGCATGCTGGCTCTGGATTCTCCTGCCTTCTGATTTCTTCATTTTTTAATCTTTTTTTTTTTTTTTTAATCGGTACCAGTGATCAAACTCACAAATGCCTGCTTGCAAGGCAGGTGCTTATGCCACTGAGCTAAATCCCCAGCCCCATTTTTTAATGAAACTGCTTAATGAAACTACTTTTCCCATCTCAGGGACTCATAGAAAAAACAAGTCTTTCATGTGGCTTTTGATTTTTAAATGCTTACTGGATTGTACCTGTTAATATCGGTAACACACCTTTAAGCTTTTCAAGCTTCTCTGATACTATACCCATCCTATCTGTTTTCTGCTGTCCTGAGATCTCTACATGAGGGTAAAAGGGGTAAAATACTCAAAAGAACGTTGTGACACACCATGTGAAAGTCTTATGGTTGCAATCACTACTTGGTCACCGATAGGGTAGTGACATCTGTCTTTTTGTCATGTATTCCAGTTGGTTAGTAGGTCACTAATGTTTATTGGTGATTTTGTTTCATTTTGTTTACTGTAAACAAGAAAAAGAACAATATGACATTCTAGAGGAAAAAAATACACCTGTGCTCCAAGAAACTCCAGTAGAAATAGAAGCCCAAAGACAAACACCAGTGGAACCCCAAAGAGACACATCAGTGGAACCCCAAAGACACACACCAGTGGAACCCCAAACACAAGAACAGTCATCACCAAGACAAGAAGAACAAAGACCTGAGACCCCAGAATCTCCTGAACAGTCATTCTCAGAGCAACCATCCCAACAACCAAGACCCAAGACACCACAGTCTCCTGAACCATTGTCCTCTGAAAAAGCATCCCAGGGAGAAAGACCCAAGCCACCAGAATCTCCTGAACCACCGTCCTCTGAAGAACCCCAAGAACAGAGATCCAAGCCACCAGAATCTCCTGAACCACTGTCCTCTGAAGAAACACCCCAAGGACAGGGATCCAAGCCATCAGAATCTCCTGAACCACTGTCCTCTGAAGAAACACCCCAAGGACAGAGATCCAAGCCACCAGAATCTTCTGAACCACTGTCCTCTGAAGAAACACCCCAAGGACAGGGATCCAAGCCATCAGAATCTCCTGAACCACTGTCCTCTGAAGAAACACCCCAAGGACAGGGATCCAAGCCATCAGAATCTCCTGAACCACTGTCCTCTGAAGAAACACCCCAAGGACAGGGATCCAAGCCACCAGAATCTCCTGAACCACTGTCCTCTGAAGAAACACCCCAAGGACAGAGATCCAAAACACCAGAATCTCCTGAACCACTGTCCTCTGAAAAAGCATCCTAAGGACAGAGTCCTGAGCTGCAGGAGTCCCCAGAGTCATTACACTTGGGACCATGAACTCAGACATGGCTGACTCAGGGACAATAAGACAAACACATGCCTCAAAAACAGAATGTCAGCTGTGTGGTGAAGAGCAACCTTCTGAAGCTGAAAATGATCATAAGACAAACGAAAATAAAATTACACACTTTTTTCCGCATTATGCTAAAGAGGTACGCCTATAGAATACTAAGATCCCAAATTTCACATTTGGCTGGCCAGGCTTTAGTTTACGAAGCTGCAATTTTTAGTTCCTTCCGTATGGCTTGATTGTACAGTAGGAAAGGGAGTGAGGTGGTTTGGGAGGCTTAGGATAGCTCTGCTACCTGCAGCAGGCCTTTCTTCTTTGGGGTTCACCCACACCTGGTAGCCAGTGTGACTTGCAGCCTAACTCACACTAGGCCAGCGTGTTTTAGCACTGTAGATGCTGGGGGCGGGGCATGGTGGGGATGAGGTGCAAGGAAAGGCAGGAGGACAGCAGAAATGTGGCAGCCACACACCAAGCAGCTTAAGACCCCATGCTCAGGACCGACCATGCTCTGCACTGGTCCCGGCACAGCAGCACATCTACTGTCTGTGGGAGACTGTCACCTAGTGCCACAGGTCCTGGGTCCTCACCCCACAGCCAAACACAGCACCATACATGCCAGGTCCCACGAGACGCCATGGGATGTCTCAGGGCCGCCATGCGGCCAGGTCACAGCTCATGGAAATTTTCTGTTACCTGCTTTTCTGTGTCTTTCAGATGGCCAGGGAGTGGCAAGCAACACCTCAGCCAAGCATCTCTCTGTCCACTCAGGGTCAGCTTTCCTGCAACCGTGGGGCTCCCGCCTCACTCACGGCCACTTTAACAGCAGGAAAACCGTGTCTGAGGTGAAACCGACACTTGGTCCTGGTGACTTGTTGAAAGCTAAGAACGTTTACTCACCGAGTCCTTTGCTCCAGTTCCCTTGCCTGGTGATATTCTTTTTAGTAAACGTTTAAAAGAATGAAGTGTGGTTCTGTATCTGTAAGCATCACTCACAGTGATCACTCAGAAAAAGCCGAGGAATTTGAAATCACATCTGTCCATTTCTCCCTCATTTTTTTCTTGGAATGTGTACGGGAAAGTAAGCATTGTTTCATTTTTATGCAGTTTGAAAGTTCTCACTAAAAGAGGAATCAGATGTATGAATTAATATGAGAAAGCATTTTTAAAATCTTTTTGAGACAGTTTCACTATGCAATTCAGCTGACCTTGAACTCACTTTGTAATCCAGGCTGACCTTGAACTTGCAGTGATCCTCTTGCCTCAGCCTCCGAGTGCTGGAATCACAGGTGTGTGTCACCATGCCTGATTATGAGAGCATTTTACCTCCTAAATGATTGCTGAAGAAAAAAGAATAAAGATTCAGTGTTAAATGTGAAAGAAAATTATTATTTACTTATGAAAGCAAAAATAATACCTGTGTATCTTTATTATATGTATTTCCAAGTATAAGGACAAAACATTGAATAGCATTTCATTAGTACAGATTATAATTTCAATAAATTATGTCTTCAGATCACTGATCATTGGAAGGTTATTTTGCTGAGATGGTCTTTTCTCTATGTCTGCATTATAATCATATTTAAAGAAGTCATTGGTGATAAACCTTTATATTTTGATAAAACAATCATGTTATCAACAAGATACAAATTTTCACCATAGAGAACTACATATCTTCATTTCCAGGACACTGAACATGGTTAAGAACTTGAGTATTTTTACTGTTTTATTATTGTCAGAATAGTTATTCCTGTTGCCCCAAGCTTACTAATTTCATCTTATTTTTTACTGATGTTTAAAAGGATTTTAGATGTTGGTCTGAATTAAAATTTGTTTTTATCTAACTCCAGATGCCAACTGTCTAGCTTGTTCTAAAACTTACATTGCTTTTTGAAGGCAGTCAGACTTGATGCGTTGCAAGATCCCAGATCTTTAAAGAATTAGAGTAGTTTCACCATCCCATATTTATATATTCTAAATCAAGCTAATCTTCTATAAAAATTTAAATGTAAACTTCCTCACCTGTGAAGTGAGCTCCTCTGTTGGAATTGTTCAACACTGCTGTGTTGATTCCCCACACCTCCATTATCATGCTAAGTTCAGACTCAAGCTGAAATTCCTTCCTTCCACACACCAAGTGGCTGCAGACCAAAAACATTTGAAAACCCTCGACAACTTTTAGGAATGTTTCTATGACTTTAAAATGTATTAAAACTTTTTCTTTCCCTTTTAATAGGGTGAGTCTATATGTTGCTGTGTGTTTGTGGGCAACAGATTGTTCAAAGAGGAGAAATTCTGCTTTTTAAAGATTTTTTGAAAGTAAGAAATAGTCACAGAGTTGAAGGCAGTAATCTTTATTCGTTACTTTCAGTTTTTCTTGAGGTGTACTGTGATGCTAGCGATGGAGAGCGAGGAAAAGTGGTTAAGAAATTTTAAGAAAGGGCAAAAGATGTGTGATAAAAGCTTCCATAAACTTAAAGGAAAATGGGCCATGGTAAGCATGCATTTGAAGGTTTGCAAAGGATGGCTCACAGAATGATACAATAGTAAGTTCATTAACTCAGAAAATGGGAGAGATTTCTTAGGAATAAAGTTTGTAGGTTTGGAGACAGTGGAGGGAGCGATGGGATGTCTTCCAACCTTAAGATATTTTAGTAATGGAGCCTTGACTAAGTAGTTATCAAATTGCTTTAAAAGTCCAGGACAAGTATTATAAATTGCTGTTCTAGCCAGAGGCATGACAGAGATATAAGACAGGAAGAGGGAATTTAAAGGTGGTAAGAAGGATTTTTACCTTTAAGCTTAATGGGATCCAGAATTCCTTAAAGTTGTTGGCAGATTTAGTAATGTGTGGACAGATGTGTCTAAAGATGCACAGTTATGTGATACGAGAAAACCAAGAGGTTGAACACTAGTAGAGGAGTTGAGGGTGATACAGTATTTACAGTAGGAAACCAGGTTTTGTGTTTGCCTCTGGAAGATATGCAAGGATATTCTCTACAACTGGGTCTCTACGGGTAGGTAACAGGATTTGAGCTACTGGGAGAGAGGCAAGCAGGGCAATCAGGAGCTAAATCAAATCTGCGTTAAATGGAGGAGTGGCAAATGGGTGTTCCCCGGTTGGAATCGTAACATCATGAGCTGTTCAGAGATCATTTTGAATCGTAGGTGCTTTGCCCCAGAGCCCAAACCCACCGATTTCACACCTTGGCTGTGGAGACTCCACAAGGTGAAACTGCAGGAGAATGTATGTTTGCTAAAGTCTTTATTACTTATACGAAAGTGTTGTTTTGTGGCTTCTGTGTAACCCCCAAGCCCCTGCTCATGAGGTTACAAGTGCGTTTTTTTCGGAGGTGGCAGGTGTGATGCTAGGATTAAGCATCCACCACTGTGGGTGTGGGTAGCGCTAACGAAAGGGCGGGCAGCCTGGATGGAATGTAAAGGCAGGCTGCCGCTGCTGCTTGCTTCAGCTTGTGGTTGCTACCTACGTTGCTGCTTTCTGCCTCTGCTGTGCCATGAGCTTTTTTCTCTGCAGTGCCCCTCGGTCATGCCCTGGAGCCGGCCAACAATGGACTGAAACCTCTATAATTTATAAACAGAAGGAAACCTTTCCTCCTTGAACTTTGGGTGGCAGGTATTTTCCTGTGCAGCCAGGCATGGTCCTCATCCTGGCATTCTCAATGGGCATCTTGGCCTACAGGAGGACCGCAGGTCACGTGAGTACAGGGTGGGGGCCAGTGGGTTCTTCTTCTCCACCATCCTTGTGCTTGTCATAGGGACACCCGACAGCTTCTTTCCCGCTGTAGACAGTGGTCCTCCCAGTTCTGGAAGGTGGAAAGGAAAAGCCAAAGCTGTCTCCACTGAGTGGGTGAGAGAATGACAGTGCAGCCGGCTGCCTGCCTAGCCCAGGCCACTTCCCACAGTGAGAAGAGGATCTGGAATAGTCTATGGGCATGCGTGAGAAGGGAGAAGGAGGAAGAGGAAGGGAGGGAAAGGAAGCAGAGATCTCTTGGTCCCTAGGTTAATTTTATTGCATCCCTACCTCCGAGGAGCCATTAAGTAAATCACTTATATACAGTAAATCTCAAATATCTATATACATTAAAGCAAAACAAGTCAACATTTTATTTTCCTTTTTTTTGGTACTGGGGATGGAACTCATAATGATGCACTTGCCGGGCAGGGGCTTTTGCCACTGAGCTAAATCCTTGACCCCAAGGAGACGTTTTAAATGCTGATTATCTGAACATAAAAAGCAAATAATTATTCTTAGTATGAATGATAAACATTGCTTGTATTCTTTGAATTATCTTTATGTAATATCCCATGCCTGGTAGTTAAAAAAACAAGCAAGAAAACAAACATATGCTTGACTTACCTCACTATTTTAATTTTTTTTTTTTTTTTCTGGTACGGGGGGATCAAACTCACAACCTCGCACTTGCCAAGCAGGCACTTATGCCACTGAGCTAAACCCCCAACTCCACTCCACTATTTTAATTTTTAAAAAGTTTTCCTTTAATTTTCCTGCCAATAAAGTTGAAAATTTTGATGTTTCCAATGGGCTTTTCTCCATATGGTATCATATTCATAATTAAGAAAATAGTGTCTAGAGGGGCTGAAGGATTGGGTAAGTTCAAAGCAAATTCTTCTAACTGTGGGAAATTCTCAATTGTCTTTAAAATATTGAAATTGTAAGTATATGAGGAATATATTTTGGTAGTTACCGCCTTTGCGCCTTCGACTAAGGTAGCTAGTTTTAGAAGACAAACTCACCAAAGAAATGATTTCCATTGATGATCCTTTTGACATTTTATTAAATTATATGCTGCCAAGATCTGTAGAGCCTCTGACTCCCCACCCTCCGCCCCCATTGTGGTACAAAATATGAATTCACCCCATTAAAAATAGGTACTCGCTCAAAAATTTCTTCTCGTAAATTGAGGTATTTCTGGGCAAAATTGCAAAAGGTCCCAATCCACACGAGCTCAGATCACTTAGTGTACTGAATACTTCCTTTGCTTCGGAAAGCCAGTTTCAACCAACCCTTCTGTTCAAACTTTCTGTCCAGTAACTGCAGGAGCCCAGATGTCAGAAGTTGACATCAGAAGTTTCTCGTTGAACAATTTGGCCAAAGCTTACCCTAGTTTTGAGTGAAATGTGACCAAAACTTAGAAAACTTGAAGCAGTGTTTAATAAGTGGCAGGGCGCTTTAATTCACAGAATGGGTTTTCAAAGCGCAGACGTCACCGCAGAGTAACCTGCGATGGGAAGGAAGACAAGGCCACATTAACTCAAATAGAACCAAACAGAAGCAACCAATTTTGGTGATTTATTTTCATTAATCGTAAACGCCCAAGTGTAATCTGTGTAAAAATACAGATGAGCCTAGTGTGTGGTGGCAGAGGCTGAGGGAGGAGGAGAATCACAAGTTTCAGTCCAACTTGGGCAACTTAATGATTTAGATCCTGGCTTTCAATAAAAAAAGAAAGTGCAAAGGCTGCCCAAGGCCCGGAGCTGCCCGATGACCACAGCCGCAGAGGTGATACGTTGGACGTTTCTTTTAGTATTTTGCATGTGAGCTCCCAGCCTGGTGTGTTTCACATTTCCACACATCTCGGGTCAGTGTGACCGGGTGTCCCATCTTAGCAGCCCCCTGTGGGTGTCATCGTGGGCTGGTGGCCCTCTGAGCTGAGCACTTGGGTTGTGGGTGACACCCACTATGGGGTCCCAGCAGAGGGATAGGTCTGTGGGGTGGTGGACGGTGGGGGTCTGAGACGCGGAGAAGGGTGGGCCTCAGGGCTTTGCTGGTGAAAAAGCAGAGCAGGTGTTTGTGTAACAGTCCCAGAGTCATGCATGAGGAGGAGGTGGGGGTCAGAACGGCAGCTCCTGTCCTCACTGCAGAGCCGCCCCTGCCCGCTTTGTTGTGCTGTCCCCTGGCCATCTGGGACACAAGCAGTGGGACCAGACAGCTCCCGAGGTCCCTGGCAGAGCTGCGCTGCCGGTGTGGTGCATCCACATCCACTCATGCACCCCACACCTGGCAGTGAGTCTCCCGGCTTGGAACAGCTGCGAGCCTGGGCACCGCCTCTCTGTCGCTGCAGTGTTTGGCTGGAGGAAAGATTAATGATCAAAGCACACAACAAATGGCCTGCAACCCAGAGATCTCCGCCAAGTCTCCTAGGGCTAAGTCCCAGTCATTATAAATAATAAAATAATAACACGTTCTGCTCCTGGTTCCAGTATGGCGTGAGGTGGAAAATAAATTGCTTATTGCTTGCAAGCTGCGGCAATAATTTATGTTGTTTTACGTCTTTTCAATGCGTTTTTCTCTGTTGGTTCAACATGATGAGCTGTAACCCTGCCCGTTTCATCCCGGCGTTCAGCATAGAAAACATTCTTCAGCTTCTTGACAGACGCATTTGACTTGACTTTTCCAACCGCTGCAGA